AGAAAAAAAAAGAAAATTGCAAAACTTTACTACAAGTAACAAAAAAAGACCTGGAGAAATGGAAGAATAAACCTTGCTCATGGATATGAAGACTCAGTATTGTGAAGAAAACAATCTGCTAAAGGCAATCTACACGTTCAATGCAATCTCAATACAAATACCAATTCCATTCTTCAGTGAGATGGAAAAAGCAATCTCCAATTTCATTTGGAATGGGAAGAGTCCCCAAATAAGCACAGCACTCCTTAAAATGAGAAACAAGTTAGGAGGCAACATACTCCCTGATTTCAAATCCTACTGTACTGCCGTGGTGGTTAAGACAGCATGGTACTGGTACAATGACAGACACATAGATCAAAGGAAGAGAATTGAGAACCCAAAAATCAGCCCATCTACCTATGGTCAACTGATTTTTGACAAGGTGATGAAGTTAAGTGGGGAAACTACAGTTTCTTTAACAAATGATGTTGGCAAAATTGGAAAACTATCTGCAGAAAACGCAAACAAGATCCACAACTCACAACATCCACAAAAACCAACTCAAAGTGAATCAAGGACCTAGGATGAAACCAAAGATTATAAACGTCATTAGCGAAAAGCTTGGAAGAACCCTAGAAGCACTAACCCACAACACGAACAGTCTTCCAAGCATCCTGAAAAACCTACAACCAGGAAAAGATAAAATAGATGAATGGGACCTTCTAAGAATCAAATCCCTATTCACATCCAAAAACTTCTCCAACAGAGTAAAAAGAGAAGCTACACTCTGGGAAAAATATTTGGTAATGACATGTTTGATAAGGGACTTATATCTAGAATTTATAGAATACTCTAACGCCATCACAAGATGAAGGTAAACAACCCAACTGCAAAATGGGCACAGGATATGAACAGACACTTCACCAGAGAAGACATTCAGATGGAGAACAAACACATGAAGAAATGTTCAAAATCCCTAGCTCTAGGAGAGATGCATATCACAACAACTATGAGATATCATCTCATCCCAGTAAGAATAGCAAAATTCAACAGAGTACCAAACAGCAAGTGCTGGTGAGGTTGTGGAGAAACTGGAAACCTTATTCACTGTTTGTGGGAGTGTAAAATGGTGCAACCACTATGGAAGGCAATATTGGTGTTTCTCAAAATGTTGGAAATAGAAATACCATTTGATCCAGCAATTCCACTACTGGAATACACCCTAAAGAAACCATAACTGCCACTCAAGCAGATATATGCACACCCCTGTTTATCATGGCTTTGTTCACAATAGCAAAGAGTTGAAAACAACCCAAATACCCATCAACAAATGAGTGGATAGAGAACCTGTGATATATTCATACAATGGAATATTATGCAGCACTGAAAAACAAAGAACTCATGCTGGGGATTGTATAGTGGTTAGTACTCTGTATTGTGAAAAACAAAGAACTCATGTAATATTATACAAAATGGGTGACCATGGAGAATATTATGCTGAGTGAAATATCTCAGTCACAAAAAGACAAATACTGCATAATGCCACTGTTATAGAACAGGACTGATACGGAGTTTGGTGGAAACTAAGAAAAGAGGGGATAGATAATGTGCATGGCATTGAAACAGATGAGAGAGAGAACTATATAAAAGGAATATATGATTAGGTGTCACTGGCATGACAAAAATCCAGAATAAGAGCTGTATAGTAATGTGGATTTGGAGTGGGGAGGGGGTCTGTATAACAATGGAAGAATTTTGTTTCCAATGGAAAAAAGCTGACTGGGGTGGGGGGACAAGGAGGAAAACGTGCAACAATTAATGAATGGAAATCTAAGTTCTCTATAAACTTTTATTAAAATTTTAATGTTGTTGTTATTTGACACCGTCGAGTCGTAGATGACTCATAGCGACCCTAAGAATGAAAGGCCTGAGCACTGTTTGTACATAGAGTTTCTGGAGGCAAGCCATTTTGGAAGTGGATGTCGCTCCTGCTTCTAGGCTTGTTTTAGGCGGGAAGCTCCAGCAAACACTGTCCACCATGGGTGCCCATTGCCACGATTGGCATATCAGTGTCACAGTGTTCAGCATCATAGCAACCACGAGTTACCTCTGTACAACAATGCACAGACCAGTGCTATACCACCAAGAAGAATGTTTGATAAATTAAAAAAATATATGAGTGTTCTACCTAACCTTTGAAGGTCTCATGTTTTTAGTTTTTGCAGTTATGCACTTATAGAACACTGTCACTTCTTTGCTTCTGAAGGTTGACTCAAATGAACTCTTCTCACAGCTAAGAAACATGGGTGACTGTGCAAAGGAAGGACACCCAGCAAGGTTTCTGGACTTCACCCAGCTGATTGACATGGCATCTGAATCTGTAGGAGGACAGGTGAGTGGGTTTCTACTAGTAAGATAAAATATTTAATATACTAATGACCCAACTAAACACTGCAGTGAACATAATTAGAACGTCAAGAATTAGGCTGAAGCACATGATCTCAAAAAACCATTAGGAAAATAGTTTTCCACCTAAATGGATAATAATTCTAAGTAAATGCAACATTCTTTAAAAATATTTTAAAGCTAGACTGCATCTGGGAAAGAAACCCCACCTGTGTGTTCTCTTAAAATATACATCATTGGTTGTGCAACTTTAGTGACTCTATTCTCCAATTTTCTGATTCAATAAGTCTGAAAGACTTATTGAAACACAAGTATTGGCGTCCTACAATACAGATGCTTCATTGAACACAACCTGATACCAATGGAACCAGGAAGATCACATTCACACTGTGATTCTGTATTTCAAATCAATGAGTATGTTCTGAGTGCTTTATTATGTATGAGATACTTTTGGGATCCGAAAGCTACTACTTAAAACTGTGTGCAATGTTTGTGCTCAGTGTTTCACATTTATTATCTTATTTAATTATTGTAAAAATAACCCGCCAAAGAGGTAATATTATTCACATTTTAAAAATGAGAATATGAAAGCTCAAGATTACCTTTTCCAAAGGCAGAATACTAAGTGATTTTTCTCAAAGTCATAAATCTTATGTTTTATGAAATCTACGTTTGATGCTATACCATGTCATATTAGGAATGTCTAGTTGTGTAGATTACTCATCATATGGTTTGTTTCATTGTAATAATTATACTAATTTTATAGATATTGCTTGGTGTAAATGTTTTTATAATTTTTTATTATAAGTTTTTGTCTATAACTAATCTTATGTACTCTTGTTTTTAGTTGCTATCAAGTTGATTCCCACTCATAGTAATCCTTTGTGTACTAAGTAGAACTGCTATACATGATTTTAAAAGTTGTGACTTTTTTTTAAAAATATTTTATTTTATTTTATTATTTTTGTGTGCGTGTACCGTCAAATCAGATCTGACTGGTACAGGAGGAGACTGCCCCTCCTTCCCCAGCAGAGCATCTGGTGGATTCGAACCGTGCACCTCTGGGATTGGAGTTGCAGCTTCTTGCCACTAGGCCACCAGAGCTCCCCTAAGTTGTGACTTTTTGCAAGTAGATTGAAAAGTTTATCTTCTGAAGTGCCTTTGAGTGGGTACAAGTATATTTTACCTTTGGACCAGTATTCAAGTATCTAATTGTGGTACCCAGAAATTCCTTAAATGATCTTATTTAACCACCTTCTTTAAAAGCCTATGCATTAATGTAGTTCTCTCTTGATGTTTCTGGCTGCTAAACTCTAGGTCTCTCCCCTGTCTCATCTCAGTGCCCAATGTATATACAGGCATACCTTGAGTGTTAGGTCCCACACCTCTGGGGTAAAGCAAATATCACAATAAGGCGAGTGACATGGTTGGTTTTTTTTGTTTGTTTGTTTTCTCAATCCACATAAACATTATATTTGCACTGAATTATACTATTCAATAGGATTATGAGGAAGTTTGATATACTGTAAGAATTTAAAAGATTTGATACAGAGACGTGGAGTGAGAACATACTGTTGGAAAGACCACTTGCTCTCTGTAAGGTTGCACCAAACCTCCAATTTGTGAAAGGTAGGTTTTGTGTGAAGTATAGTAAATCAAAGTGCAGTAAAATGAGGTATGCCTGTACATAAACACACACACACACACACACACACACACACACACACGTACATACTGTTTATATCTATGTTGTTGTTGCTAGGTACTGGAGAGTCTAGTATGACTCATAGTGACCCTATGAACAACACACTTGAATGCTGTCCTCTCCGGTGCAATTCTTATCATTTCTGACATACTTGAGCTCATTGTTGCAGTCACAACCCATCTGGTTGAAGGCCTTCCTTTTTTACCATCCTTCAACTTTTCCAAGCATGATGTCCCTCTCCAAGAAAGAGCCTTTTCTAGAAACGTGAACTGTATGTGAATCGGAAATACATGTGAATTTGAAGCTTTGCCATCCTTGCTTCTAAGCAACATTCTGACAACACATTTTCCCAAGACATATCTTTGTTCTTTTGACAATTCATGGGATATTCATTACTTTTCCACACCACCACAGTTCAAAGGCATCAATTCCTCTGTCATCCCTCTTCATTGTTCAGCTCTCAGCTGCATAGTAATTGGAAATACCCTGGCCTGAATCAGGCAGACCTCAGTCTTTAAACTAACATCACTGCTCCTCGGTAACTTGGAGAGGTGCCTGACAGTGGACTTGCCCAGAATAATACATCTCCTGATCTCTTGACTGCTGGTGCTGAGGGTGTTGATTGTGGAGCCAAGTGTGGTGAATTCATTAACAACTTCATTATTTACTCTGTCATGATGTTGCGTGTTAGTCCTGACTGGTGGTAAGGATCTTTGTCTCCTTGATGTTGAAATGCAATCCTTACTGAAGACTGTAGTCATATCTGACCCTCCAGTAGATTTTTAGAGGCAATAAATTGCATGGGAAGAGATTGCCTATCCTTCACTGGTGAGGCAGCTGGCAGATTTGAACCCTGTGCCTTTGGGATTACGTGCAGCTTTTTACCACTAGGCTACCAGAGCTACCTCTTTTGCCTTTGAGTTTTCCTAAAAACAAAATTATTATGAAACTAGTCAATCCTGTCCTTGATCAGGTAACTTGATTACTGTTCTGTTTTGTGAGGGGAAAACAATTGCAATTCATGCCATTTTTTTCTTGGTATACAATTTATAGCTACTCACTCTCACGCTCTCCAAATGTCCCACTTTGTCTATAAATCACCAGTTCAATCTACCTACAGGGCATCTTTTGGTGTGCCTTTGGTGGGAGGAGAATATTGATCTAGTCAAACTACAAATCCAGTTTTTTAAACATTGCAATGTGGTGCAGCTCTGGCTGCCCACAGGTAAGAATCTGCACTGCAATTCTCTTTTCTTAAAACCCACTGAAAGTTCAACTATGTGACAGTTCTGACTTGATGGCACACAACAACAGCAGTGGTGCATCAGGATGGCATATTTTGTAGGGAGATGAGCTACTAACCTAAAGGGCAAGCATCTCCCACTGTTCTAATCCACCCTTCAACCTGTTGTACACTACTATCATAGGGCTTCTTATTTGGCAGAAAAACCTGGCAGTTTACTTCTGCAAATACTGTTCTTATTACAGTGTACTGTGAAGATGGAACAGACTCATGCATGACCCACCAGCAGGTTCTCAAAGACAGTAAATGAAACAGGAGGAGATTCCACCCTCCACCCGCAACAAAAATTGGTGATTCCACCTGTGTCCCTTTGGGTTGGCAGCACAACTTCTTACCACTAAATCACTGTAAAGATTACAACCATGAAAACTCTATGCTACAGCTCTACTTGGTCACATGGGCTCATCAGGAGTCAGAACTCACACAATGGCATGGGACAACAGCAACATGTCACAAGACCTAATGACTTCAGGTCTTAAAAAAAAGAAAATTGGTATCTTTTCTTCCCTAGGGAGAGAAGTTAGCACTTTTGCATCCAGATGGTGAGAGGGATTAAGAAAAAATGGTGGGAAGAAAAGATGAAGGGGAAGGCAAACAATGAAATCTAAACATTTAAAAAACATTGTGGCTTAATTGCATATTGTTTCTTTCCCCCTAGGCAATTGCACGTTTCCTTTTTACTGCCTCTCATTATGTTTCACTGGGGAATGAAATAAAATGGTTTTTAATTTATGGTTATTTTATCTTTACTTCTTTCTTTCTCCAGATTTTATTTGCAACAGATGACTTTTTTGCTCCTGCAGAAAACCTTATAAAGGTATTGTAAATTGACATTCTACATTGCAAAGCGTTGGCGTAGAAGTGATCTATGTAGCCATGTTAATTAAAATCTGCCAGTATATTTGGGATGGGAGCATTGTTGTGTGTACGAGTGAATTAACACGCCTGAACATTAGAAACATGTCAGAACATTAGAAACATGTCAGATCAACGTGAATACAAGGGTTCCTGGGAAAATACTGAGGTCTTCATCTGGTGCCTCTGGTCCAATGTGGATTCTCTGCTTTACATTGGGGAGAAAAGGGACACACAAATTGATTTTTTTTAAATGTTTCTCCATCAAACTAGAAAAGTGTGTGATGTATTTTATTGCAGAAAAATGAAGAAATAACTGAAAGTGTGGGGAAGAAATCAAAGCTCTGCTTCATTCTTACTACTTTGTCACAATCAATGTCTTGGCACAGGTGTGGGTAAACCCCTGGGATTAGTCTTCAGTTTTTTTTTTTCTTTCTGCAGAATATATTTGTAATCACATAGTTCTTGTTGTTAGGTGCCATCGAGCAGAGTACAGTTCAAAGCGACCCTGGGAACAAAGATCTGAACTCTGTCCTATCCTGTGTCATCTTCATAATTTCTGACACACTTCAGTTTATTTTATCTCTGTGTCATTCCATCTGGTTGAGGGTCTTCCTCTCTTTCACTGACCTTCCATCTTTTTAAGCATGATGTACCTCTCCAAGGAATAGACTCTCCTAGCAACTTGTTAAAAAATATGAGGCAATCTTTGTCATCTTTGCCTCTCAGGAGCACTCTGTCTGTACTTTGTCCAAGACATATCTGTTCTTTCTGGCAGTCCATGGGATGTTCAGGGCTCTTCTCCAACACCATAGCTCAAAGGCATCAATTGTTCTTCTGTCATCTTATTAATTTCAGAGGCAAAACAAATGATTGAAAAGACCATTGCCTGAAGCAAGCATACCTTAGTCCTCAAATTGGCATGATTGTTCCTCACTAATTTGGAGAGATCTCTGACTATAGACTTTCCCAGTGCAATACCAAAGGTATTGATTGTGGATCCAAGGGAGATGAAATCATTGACAGTTTCAATCTTAATGTCTCTTCTGTTCCCTATTGGTTCAGTGGCAAGAATCTTAGTTTTCTTGACCTTGAACTGCAATCCCTAATGAAGGCTGTTTTTGTTGTTGTTAAGTGCTGTCAAATCAAATACGACGTATAGCAACCCTGTCCATATCCAATAGGTATTGAGAAAGGATACAAACCAGATACACATCTTTTTTAGTTTTAAACATAGTGTAGTGTTCATGAAAGTACACCCCACCCCCCGCCACTGGCTAATTGGCATGTTTCTCCAGCTTCCTTCATATATTTCAACTTCGGTCATACCAGCAGTGATGGCAAGAGCAAGGCACTAAAAGGATATGAACTATCTCTCCACCAAATACTAATCTAAAACATTACATAATTTTGAACTCAGCAGAGGGTTTTTAATTGATAGTACACTCCTTTTCTCACTACTGATTTAGATCATAGCTTCCTACTTTCTGAATACTATTGAAAGACTGAGAAGAGCTTTATCTTTAATATGTGATTTCATTATAGTAAAATTAAAAATATATTTAGCTTTCATAAAATTCATCAAGTATACTAAAGAAATAACAGAAGTGTCCAGGAATTTCCAAGCATTTTATTGCTCTAATGACCTTTGGAGTTAGATGAAATTGTTATTGTCTGCATTTGACAAATGAGGAAACTAAGGCACATTTGTCATTGGCCAACTGCCCAGAGGAGGCCAAGATGAGCCGCTCACTCCGCCAGCCTGGCTCCAAAGCGGCATCAAGTCATTATTCATCTGGATTCTTGGCTAGTCTCACCTTGGAGCCACTGTCCAGGTCCCCAGCTACTGCTTGTCTGGAGACTTTATCCTTTTCCCCTAGACCTGTGGAGAATCTCTTCTATGTTGTAACAAGATTTTTATTCCATTTATCTTTATTTGAAAAACAAAAACAAAACAAAACAAAAAATATCTCATTCTCACTTACTCACTAACTGTCCACCAAGAGAGAACAGTTTCTGGATCTACAAGTTTCTTTCTCCAACCCCCTCTTTTAATAAGCTTTTATTTTTTTAAAATTCTTTTTTAATGGTAAACATAATTTAATAATTGAAACATGAAATGTACATATGTTTGGGGTATTTTTTTGTTTTTATTTTTGGATTTCCATTCATTTATGTTAGCACATTTTCCTCCCTGTTTCCCCATCCCCAGTTTGCTTTTTTCTTGGGGAAAAAGTTCTTTCATTGTTATACAGTGCCCCTCCGCTCACCAACCCTCCTCCCCCACTTTACTGTGCAACTCTTATTCTGGACTCTTTGTCATACCAATAATACCTAATCATATATTCCAGTTATACAGTTCTCTCTCTCCTCTGTTTCAATGCTGTGCACATTTTTATCCCCTCTTTTCTTAGTTTCCCCCCAACCCCCATAGCAGTCCTCTTCTATAACAGTGGCATTATGCTGTCTTTTTGTGACTTAGATATTTCACCCAGCATAATGTCCTCCATGGTCACTCATTTTGTATTTCATGAGTTCTTTGTTTTTCAGTGCTGCATAATATTCCATCATGTGAACATACCACAGCTTTTCTTGGATATACATGTTTCTTTCAAATAAATAATTTCAATTTTATAATAAATCATGTGGGGTACGGATTTATCATCTGCATTTTAAAGATGAAGAGTGGAGGCTCAGGTATTTGCCCAATGCTAAGGTGGCAAAGCTGAGCTTCACGTCCAGCTTCATATGAAGTATCATCTTTGGAGCTTAAGCTTTCCCTCATGTGGTGCAGGGTAGAGCACTGGCCTTTAGGGATTTGACTGGACCCAAAGCATCAGACTGACTGACTCTTAATAAGACTTCAGCTGAGTTATCTGCTAACTTTTCTGAGTAACTTAGGAAATCCATCAAGCATCTCTTCCTTTTTTCCAGTAACCTAGATTGCCGTTGGTAGTCAAATGACTCCATTTGTAAGACCCAACTAACTATTTGCAATATAGTTTTACCTGTTAGTATCAAAGATTAGTTCTGTATTCTTAGGCTCACTTAAATATTTTTTTTTCTCTCTGAAGATGATACAAATATAGAATAAATATACTGCTATGGGTTAACTCTGAATGAAGGTAAAAACAGCATCTCTCTGCTGAGATCTCCCCTAGAATTTCTGCTTGTATCACATGTACTTTTGGGACAGAACTTAATACACCAAAAGAAAAAAAAACACCTATGGCATGAATGTTAGCTACTGAACTGTTAAATGTCTTTGTCTCAGAGTGATGCCCCAAGATTTAAAGAACATGAGTATACGGAGTTTGGGAAATGGATAGATGGATGGGAGACCAGGAGAAAAAGGATTCCAGGTAATATAGTGAATGTGTTCGTTTACAAGGCAAACTTAAAAATAGGAACTGGTTCATTTTGATATCTGTATTTTGATAAACTTTGTAATCTCAGATGTCCCTACCCAATCAGGGGAAAACCAGGAAGAGGTAGCAAGCCCTAGACATCTATGAACCATCAGATAAAAGAGAAGATAGAAGCATATTGTTAGGAAAATGAAAAGATTGACAAAGCCTATAGATAGAGGGAGGACAAATATTTATCGAGCAATGCGGCAAGCATTAAATGCTAAGTGCATTTACATTTGAGCTTCACACCAACTCTTTGACTCAGGTGCTCATATTTCCTCTTAGGAATTACAGAAAAGTCCATGAACTTAGCCCAGCTTATAAAACTAGCAAAATAGGAATTGAACCAAGATCTGTCTTATGCCACTGAACACATATTTTTATGCCTACTTAAAATGTTATTTTAACTCATTGCTACTCATCATCTTTGTGTCACATACTTGTTATTAGGAGGGGGCTCTGGTAGCCTAGTGGCAAGAAGCTGGACTGCAATCCCAAAGGTACACGTTTCAAGGCCATCAGCCGCTCAGTGGAAGAAGGATGGGCAATTTCCTCCTGTACAATGATTAACTACCTCTGAAAACCTGCTAGAGGGTTGGCTATGAGTTGGTTCCGCCTCTATGGTACACAAAAACAGGCCTTAGATTAAGATATCATATTGGGAAAGGTGGAGGGTCAGAGAGAGGAACAATCTTAACAAGATGTATTGAAACTGTGGCTGTAAGAATGGGCTCAAGTATGTCAGAGGTGAGAATGGTGCAGGATAGGTTCAGATGTGTTGCTCAGAGGATTGCTAATGAATCATAATGGGCTGGATGGCACCTAATAATGATGCCCGTCTCCATAAAAATGTACCTTCTAAGATTGAAGAAACAATTGTAAAACAGAATACAAATATTAGGCTAGCATCTAGATTTATTTTTTTGCTCCTGTCTTAAGTGTACAGATAACAGCAATTTCTTATTTTCTTTGTTAATAATATGTGAGTCATTATTCTCAAGCCCACCCCACCCCAGTGTTGTTGGTTTTTTTCTAAGTCATAGGACCATATACGACAGAGTAGAACTCCCCCATAGGGTTTCAGAGGCTGTAAGTTTTTATGGGAGTAGACTGCCTCAGCTTTCTCTTCTGGACTAGCTGGTGGGTTCTGACTGCTGAACTTTGATTAGCTCAATGCCCAGCCTACTACACCATCAAGGTTTCTTGAGACATTATTTTTGTTGTTGTGTGTCACTGAGCTTCAACTGACTCAGAGCTGAGTAGGTTTTCAGAGACTGTAAATCTGAAGGGAGGAGAATGCCCATCTTTCTCCTGAAAAGTCAATGGTGAACTCAAACTGCCCGTCTTAGTGTTGGCAGAGCAATTCCTTACCACTACACTAGCAGAACTTTTGAGATATTAGATTTTATCAAATCTGGACATTTTAAAATGGGTTTGTGTCTGGCAGTAAGTAACCAAGAACTACAGAATGGCATAATGACATTAAGAAGTCCTACACTTTGGCCTGTACAAGAGAAAGGGGAAAACCCAAGATAGCAAGAAACATGATGCATCTAGAAGTATCACCTCTATACTGAATACCTACCTTAGCAGGCTAGGTGTTTATACCCAAAATCTAGTTGAGCCTTATGGAAACTAATAGCAATACTGATGTAGTTGAAGAAATAAAAATTCAGAGAGGTCAATTTATCAAGGGCACAACTAACACATGGTCAATTTGGATGCAAGATTGATGGTTCATATAAGGAAATGGTGGCAATATGAGGTCAGATGATTTGCTGTTGTTGTTGTGTACCATCAAGTAGGAACCGACCCATAGCTGATCCTCGGATGGGTTTTCAGAGGCAGTTAATCACACGAGAGGAGATTGCCCATTCTTTTCCCATGGAGCATCAGACGGATTCTAACCACGTCTTAGAGATTGCAGTGCAGCTTCTTGCCACTAGGCGGCCAGTGCTCCCTGTCAGATCTTAAAATCATGTTCGCTGAGAAGAATTGAACTGTCTACTTTTTCCTATAATGGAAGAAGAATATTCTTTTTGATGTTTCCTTTTTAATACTGTTGCATTATAACTTTAATTTACCATGCTAAATCTAACGGGATGTTCTTATGATTTGTGCTGCATAGGTCATGACTGGTGTATCATCAAGTTGGGAATACAAGGGATTATTCGAGGTTTCGACGTGGACATTTCTTACTTCATAGAAAACTTTGCTCCTCGAGTGTCAATTCAAGCAGCAAACTTTCCAGAAGGTGCTTTGGTTAACTGCTGGCTTTCCCTTTCAGAAAAAAATTGTGGAGTTTCAACGCTCATGCAGATCAGATTTTCTGATTTTTGCCTTTTAGTTAAGACCCAGACAGACCTAGGAACTCATGTCAGGCTGTTCTACTGTATTTAAACTTGAGAATTTGGATCTTTACATTCTCTGTAAGAGTGCGCTGTGCTTTTCAATTTTTAATTTAACATTGTTTTATGATCTATTATAAATGTCATTATTTCTGTCCTCCTTGGACTTCACCCCAAAGCACAACTTAATGTTACTTTGAAGTTTGGTAAGCAGGTTACCTGGGAAGGTGGGAAGTGGGATTTGGCTGACCCGATAATTTGAAGTCAGGTCAGGGGCCCACTGAGGGGTCTCTGCCCCAGCACCACTTTCATCACTATCCAGAGTGCTATAATGGTGCAGCAGGTGTGAGATTTTCAAAAAGGTTTTCTTTCTGCATCTTGGAACTATGGGCCTTGTAAATGCTGCAGGCTCTATAAATTAGTCTTGTGTTTTTAGTTCCTTTAGTTAATACCATCAAATATAGGTTCTATATTTTATTTTCTTAGACATCTATATGTGTATGTACATGTCTATAGTCGCAAGTGACTCGACGGCACATAACAACAACAACATGTCTATTTAGGGAAGATAAATCATGTCAGCTGGCAAAATTCTATGTGTACAGAGCTGTGTCAGGTTCTGTGTCAATGAAACACATGGATCCTGCTACCCAAAGATAATTAGGATATCCCAAAAGTTAAATGATAATAGAGGAGGTGACGAATAACAAATGGATGACTAATGACTGAAATTATTTTTATTTTCCTCTCTATGTTTTCCTTTTCCTTAATGATATTGCATTGATCACTTTGTTTCTGTACAAGAGGAAAGTATTATTCTTTGAGGAAGCTCATCAATCACCCAGGAGCTCTTCTGAACGAGATCACCCATGACCTATTTCTGGATTGCTTCGGCATCAACTTTAAGGATGTCATTGGGGATTCGTTTCTTAAACAGATCTTGCTATGTTAATTAACTTTATTGATCCTAATTTAAAAAAAATTAGTTATGTGATAAATTTTTCTAAGCTTTAACCTAGCTTAGAAGTAATATTGACTATTTTGATAAGCAAATAAACGTATCATCAAGTACACTGCACCAATTTAAAAATAAACATTAGTTATTTAAATGTTGGAGAACTTAAAAAAATATTTCTAATACTGTGACTATGTTGGTGCTTTATGTTGTGAAATGATGTCTCTATTGGTATTTCCCAAAGTGAACATTATTATACCACCTGTGAAATATGTTCTTTTTTATTTTGACCCCTAACCTTGACCATGGCTACTCTACTAACTTCAGATAAAGTACGAGAAATTCCAGAAAGAGGAATCAGAACAGGAACTGCAGCTACACTGGAGGAATTTAAAGCTATTGCAGAGGTATGTCTCTAAAGAAAGAACTGGTTCTTATAGTGAATTATTGAACTAGTGAAATTTACACTGCATTCTAGGCTGTGCATGGCAAATCTTTGAGACATGTTTATCTCAATCACTCGTCTATTTATGATCCTGCTAATGTCATTATGAGTCACAGGTGAGTGGTTCAAGGAACTCCTTTATGAATGACCTTCAGGACTCCTAAAACACATAGAGTAGTGTGTTCTGAACTGTGTGGTATGCTCATCGGCACCGATCAGCAAGCTGCAACCGGTCCTTAAGGAAAAATAATACAGAAACTATCAATAAATCTTTAAATACCTTTAGTAATAAATTACACAGTAACTCTGTGTAACGAGTTTAATTAGAAAGCATTTGAACTTTTTTTGGGGGGTGTATTTTTGGGTTTCTCCCCTAACATTTATTTGCCTAGAAGTTTTTATTGTATTTTACAAAATCATTGATCTGCAGAGATAACATCAAAAACAGCAAGCAAGTCCTTTTACCACAGTTTGAGAACCACTGATCTAAAGAAAATGATAAGGCTTAGCCAACCAATCTACCACAATTTAATAGTGTGTGTGGGGGTTTAAGCTATTGTTAATTTCCATGGGCATAATCTCAAATTTAATTAAGTGTTGATATTACTGTTGAGGTTTTTTTCCTCCTTTAAAAATTCTGAAGATGAAAAAAAAAATCTCCTGGGATGGGAGATCTCATTCCTTATTCTCAATGCTTTCCACCCCATGTTGATATCATTATCCAGTGATTTTCTAATCAGTGGGGAAGAAACAGGGGCTTTATATTGTTTATTATTAAACCTGGGCCTTGGTTTTTACTAGCATTTTTAATAAGGTGCTTTATTTGGCACCTAAGTAGGCTCCTTAACATAATGGTAAAGCATTTGGCTGCTGACAACAGCAATACAAATGACAGTAGTTTGAACCCTCTAGCCACTGTGGGAGAACGATGTGGCAGCCAGCTTCATAGGGATTATGGTTGTTGTGTACCATCAAGTCAGAACCAACTGGTTTTCAGAGACAGTAAGTTGTCAATTCTCCTGTGGAGCAGCTGCTGCCTTTGGAGTTACAGTGCAGTTTCTTACCACTAGGCCACCAGAGCTTCCTTTAAAACTATGTGGAAACTCTATTCTGTTTTAAAGGGTTGCCATACATTGAGATTAACTCAATAGCAATGAATTTTTGGTCTCTTCATTAATTTTTAATCCAAAATATCTGTACCTTTCAAGTCTTACACAGGTACTAGGATGAGAGTATGTATTGTTCCCCAAATTTATGGCTAACATTTTGATATTTATTGCTAGCTAAAGTCTGAAAACTGGAATTGCTTGGTTCCCAAGACAGAGCTTAAACTAGGAAAGCCTGGTTCCAGTCACAATTATTTTCCCATCAATTCTCAGCAGAGATGGACTCATATCCGTCTCAACATTTTTCCAGGTAAAAGTAACACTTATTTATCATCTCCATTTCTATGGCTTCTTTATATTTTTGCATTTAAAAACTATAAAATGAAATAACCTCCTTCTACTTGGTAAATTATTTTTATAGAGTTTTAAGATTATAATTTGCTCCTTTTGGGCGTTAGGAAATTCTTATTTTAATCCGTTCATGTTTTAATCTAGTCAGGAAATAAGGAGACACATTGCACTGAGAAAATCTTCAGTTAGAATCTCTCTAAGTGATTATTGTTTTTTAATAAATTTTTTATTTTTATTTTAATGAAAGTTTACAAAAAACTTGAATTTCCATTCATTCGTTACTGTATGATATCACTGTTAAAAAATAAGACTGACATGGAGGTTGGGGAGAAACTAAGAAAAGAGGGGGATAATGAACACTGTATTGGAACAGATGAAGGAAACAACTATTTTAAAAGGAATATATGACTGGGCATTATTTGCATAGCAACAGTCAGAATAAGAGGTGCATAGCAAAGTGGATGGGGTTGATGGAGACTTTGTGCAACAATGAATCAATTTTTAAAAGAGGATCTCTCTAAATTACTGAAGAGTAATGATGTCAGTTTGAGGACTAAGATGTGTCTGATTCAGACCATAGTCTTTCTGATTACTTGCTTTGCATCTGAGAGCTTGACAATGAATAAGGATGACAGAAAAAGAATTGACACCTTTGTGCTACGAAGTTGGAGAAGAGCACTGAACATCCCATGGATGGCCAAGAGGACACACATATATTTTGCAGAGAGTGCAGCCAGAGTGCTCTTTGGAGGCAAGAATGATGAAGCTTTGCCTCACATACTTTGGGCATGTTGCTAAGAGGGGCTAATCCTTGGAGAAGGACATGATGCTGGAAGAGGGGAGTGTCAACGAAGGACAGGAAGATCGTCAACCAGGTGGATAAACACGATAACTTCTGCAATAGGCTCTTGAGTGTCAGGAAGTGTGAGGATTGTGCAAGATAGAACAGGATTTAGATCTTCTGTTCACAGGGTCTCTATAAGTCATACTGGACTTGATGGCACCCAACAACAACAACAACAACAACTGAAAAGCTATTATGTAAACTAGGATATGATTATTGTTGTTGTTCTTAAGTGCTGTCGAGGAACAGATGACTCATAGCAACCCTATGAATGAAAGATCTGAACACCTGTATAACTTTCATCATTTCTCCAAGTTCATAGAGTTTCTGGAGGCAAGCTATTTCGCATGTGGATGCCACTCTTGCTTCCAAGCTTGTTTTAATCAGAGAACTCCACCAAACACTGTCCACTATGGGTAACCATTATCACATTTGACATATCAGTGTTACAGTGTTCAGTATCACAGCAACCACAAGTTACCTCTACACAGCAAATGGACAGAGGTAACCACTTAGAAGGATGTTTGACAAAAAACAATTAAAACCAGGCCTGAGGGCTGCAGATTAAAATCACCCACCTTTGACTTGGTACCATAACTTTCTATCCACTAGGACAACAGAGCTCTCTCTATGTTGTTGTTGTTGTTTTTGTGATATGCTGTTGAGTCATAGACAACTCATAGCGACCCTATGAATGAAAGTCCTGAACACCATGATAGAAGTTGTATTAATTTATATATCCCTGATCATTTCTATTTCACAAAATATTTTAAATACTTGTGTTTACATTTTGTGTGGATATTTCTTTTTAGTTCTTTTATGACTAGATTTTTTTTGTCATATAGTAAATCTACGTTCAATTAAAAATTCACTCATTGCTTTTGAGTTGGAACCTCCAGCAGGTTTTAGGAGATGACCTGTTTTTTTCCTGTAGAGATGCTGGTGGGTTCGAACCGCCAGAGAGGCCCTACCATTTGGCTAACAGCATAACTTCCTGCTGACTATGCCACCTGAGAGCAGATACTTTTTCAAATAGTTTTACCATTTCACATCCTGTAAGCAGTGCAACTATAAAATTGTACTTTAAAATAAACTAGAAATTTTCTTTTTAACTACAAATACAACACCATTCTTACTCCGTTTTTCATTCCTGGCATAGTATATTTAACATGTGGTTGTCTGATTCAAAGTAGCTAAAGTCAAACCACCTCATCTCACTAGTGCCTACAATACTGATGTTCATGTATTCCATTTAATTTTTTACAATTTCTAGTTTTTCAACATTCATAGTCCATACATTCCATGGAAATAAGGAATGTATCCTATTAAAGAGTATTTGCAGCTGTTTATCCTCATTTTGATTAACTTACAATCTGGGGTCTACCTCTAGTACTATGTCCATCCTTGTTTCTCTATTGTTGATAGGGTATTCATAAGCCTGGTATTTAAAAAGTGGATGGCCAATCCTGCTTCCTACTTTGTCTTAATCTGGGAGCTCCACTTAAACCTGTCCACCGTGGGTGACCCCACTGGCATTTGATATACTGCTGGCACAGCTTTTAGCATCACAGTAATCCACAAGTTGCCTCAGTACACAAACTGACAGACAAGTGCTGTACCAATTATTGTTGTTGTTAAGTGCTGTTGAGTCGCAGGCAACCCTATGAAGGAGAGTCCTCAACGCTTGGATGCCTTTCATCCTCTCTCCAGGTTCATAGGGTTTCTGGAGGCAAGCTACTATGGAAGTGGATGGCACTCTTCCTTCCAAGCTTGTTTTAATGGGGGCGCTCCACCCCGCTCTCTGTCCGCATTGGGTAGCCAACCATTAACACATTTGACACATCAGTGTCATAGTGGAACAAAATAAACAGGCAAGAATATAGGTACCCAAGCTAAAAATTATTTAGCAATATGCAGATCAATCCCCCATGACAACAAACTGATAGATGTCTCACGGTTTCAGAGACCAGGTGCTGACTGTAAAATAGATCATCAATTACTCAAGTTCAAGTTAAAATTGAAACTGAAGAAGATTAAAAAAAGTCCATGAGAACCAAAAGTTGATCTTGAATCTACCCTGCCTTAATTTAAAAATCATTTTAAGAATAAGTTTGAAGCCTTGAACATCAATGATTGAAGACCAGATGAATTATGAGAAGACATCAGAATATCATCTATAAAGAGAGCAAAAAGTCACCAAAACCACAGAGAAAACAAATACCAAAATGGAAGTCAGAAGATACCCTGAAAATTATACTAAAGCATAGAGAAGCCAAAGGGAAGAGATTCTAAACTAGAAAAGCTGAACAGAAGCTTTCAAAAGGCAGCTCAAGAAGACAAAACAAATTACTATAAAAGAATGTACAGAAACCTAGAATTGGAGAATAAAAAGCGAAGAACTTGCTCAGCATTTCTCAAGCTAAAAGAACTGAAAAAACAAATTCAAGCCTTGAGTTGTAATACTTACAGATGCTATGGGCAAAATCTTCACTGATCCTTGAAGCATCAAAACAAGGAATACACAGAATCACTGTACCAAAATGAATTGGCCAACACTGAAATATTTCAGGAAGTATCATATGATCAAGAGCCATTAATAATGAAGTTCAAGCAGCACTGAAAGCATTGGCAAAAAATAAGGCTCCAAGAATCAATGGGACACCAAGTGACATGTTTCAACTAGCAGATGCAGCCCTGGACCAGTCTATGCCAGGAAATTTGGACAACGCTTGTCTGGCTGATTGGCTGGAAGAGGTTCCCATTTGTTTCCATTCCCAAGAAAGGTAATGCAACAGAATGTGGAAATTATCAAACAATACTATTAATATCATATGCAAGCAAAATACTGCTGAATATCTTTCAGAAATGGCTACAAAAGTACATAGAGATCTACCAGACATTCAAGATGGATCCCGAAGCCACAGCACCTGGAAAATCAATGCCAATGCCAGATGGATCCTGCTTGAAAGCAAAAATATCAGAAGAATGTCTATTTGCTCTGTGCAAACATCATGCAAAAACATTTGACTGCATGGATCATAACAAATTGTGGCTAACATTGAGAAGAGTGGGAATCTCAAATCACTTAATTGTGTCCATGAGGAACCTATACTTAGACTAAGAGGGTTTGTGCTAACAGAGCAAGGAAACACTACAAGGTTTAAAATTAGGAAAGATGTGTGTCAGGATTGTGTCCTTTCTCCATACCTATTTAATCTGTATGCTGAATAAATTATTCAGAAACTGTACTCTATGAAGAAAACGTGCCACCTTGAGTGGAGGAAGCCTCATTAATAACCTACATTATGAAGATGAACAATCTTGCTTGCTAAAAGTGAGGACTTGAAGCACTTACTGCCGATGGTTAAACACTACAGCCTTTAATATGGATTGTCAAGGTTAAAACAAAAATCCTTGCCACTGGACTGATAGGAAAAAACATCATAATAGATGGAGAAGAAATTGACACTGTCAATAACTTCATCTTACTTAAATCCACAATCAATACACTTGGTATCAGCATACAGGAGACCAGCAGACATATTGCACTGGGAAAGTCTGCAGTCAAGGACCTCTTCAAATTACTGCGGAACAATGATGTCAGTTTGAGGATTAAGGTGTACCTGATTCAGACTATATTCTTTTCATTCACTTGCTATGCTTCTGAGAACTGGACAATGAGTAAAGATAACAGAAGAAGAACTGATGCCTTTGAATTGTGGTGTTGGAGAATAGTACTGATTATCCCATGAATTGCAAAAAGAACAAACAAATGTGTCTTGGAGCAACTGGAGTGCTCCTTGGAGGCAAAGATGATAAAATTTCATCTCACATACTTTGAGCATATTCTTAGGAGATTTTATTTCTTGGAGGGGAAAGCTTGGAAAGATGAAAGGATGGCTATGGAGAAGAAAACCTTCAATGAGGTAGATTGAGGCAGTGACAGCAGCAATAGGCTTGGATGTGCAAGAAATGAGGATGACACAGGATAGGACCTGGTTCAGATCTGTTGTTCATAAGCTTACCATGAGCCATACTTGATGACCTAACAACAACATCACCAGTGCGTAAGCACTCCAGTTTCTCCACATCCTCATTAACACTATAGGTAAAAT